GGAATTGACTACACCGATATTTTTGCTCCCATGTTGATGAAAGCACCCTAATGCTACTAGGAAAGAACCCTAGAGGGGGGTGAATATGATTTATGCTAATGTAATCCGATTTATGCTAAATTAAAACTTTACTAACAAATATATCCTAGCACTAGAGATATGAACAATATATGTGCAAGGATATACAAATAATACAAGGGTGAAACAAGATAAAAAAAGATACAATTGTGATAGGGCAATATAAACAACGTAAACACACAATATGATCACGGAGTTCGGACCTTCCATCCTACGTCTTCGCTCCCCACTCCCGGGGAGAAATCCACTATCACACCGTGTTTTTAACGTTCACCCCAAAACGTTTACACCTCACACTCGGTTTTCTAGTTCACCGAAAACTTTACAATCACTCATAATGTAAACACACTAACTATCACCTCAAGTGTTGGTCTCTAGCTCGTGTCTCCCTCAAGTGTTAGGAATTACAACCTCTCTCTAGATATTACAACCTCTTAGTGTACTAGTGTAATACAAGGTAAACTTCACAATTAGGTACTCTGATACACTTCACACAATTACAAATATACTTCACACCCTCTAAGTATTGACCTAGCCCGTGTCACCTTCCTCAAGTGTTTGGAATTACCACCTCTCACTAGGCTTTACTACCGACCTCACTCCTCTTGGAACCGACCCTGTCTCTTACCAACCATTTATCTCGGTGTCCAAGTATAATACAATGTGCAACTCTCACAATTAGGCTCACAAATCAAATGATTATTCTCTAAACAAGGTGAGAACTCAATTAAGCATACTCTCAATTTCACAAACCCACAACCCCAAATTATACTATGAATGTAAATACAATAAGCTCAATAGGTTGTGTGTGAACAAAGAATATAAATAAAATCAACTAAACTCAATATAAACACTAGCTTAATAAAATGATAATCAAACAATATAAATGTAAAGCTAGAATGAGTTTAGGGAAACTTCTCTATAGATAACAAGAGGGAGAGAGAGAAGAGTGGAAGCTCAAACACAAATGGTGATCTCCCCTTCTTCTTGTGAAATTCTCTTCATAAACTAAACTCTTAAACAAACACTAAAACAAACTTAAACACCCTTTAAACTTGTTTAAAAACTTTCTTCTTAGTGATTTTTGGTCTGAGGTATGAGGGGTATTTATAGAGACCCCAAAACACAAGAAAATCAAGGCAAAAAGATAAAAAACCTAAAACTGGAATAGGCTGGAAAAACTAGTCGTTACAGCATCAGTCGACTAATTGCTTTCATCAGTCGACTGACGGTTTTCATCAGTCGACTGATGAGCTGACCGTTAGAGGTATTTTCCAACTCATCAGTCGACTGACGGACCTTATCAGTCGACTGATGACCTCATCAGTCGACTGGTCAGTTGACGAAAATAAAACAAAAACTTTTTGTTATTCCAGATGTTTTCTTCAGTCGACTGAACACAGTCATCAGTCAACTGATAACACTGTATCAACCTGATTGAAACAAAAAATCTGATTTTCAAACATCTTTTAAAATAGCAAATAAAATCAGAAAAATATAAAACTTTGGGAAATGATTTTAGACATGATAATACACATGTTACGAAAATTGGTTTTTAAAAATCACCTTCCATTTGTAAAATATCATCATTTTGCAAATATGTCCAAAACAGGAAAACGAACAACACTTGTTTTTGTCAAAATAATTTAAACAATATTTTAAAACTTTATAAAATAATTTTATAGACTTAATAAAATATGTATAAGCTGATATTAAAGTCTATAAACTAATAAAATAATGTTTTATCAAAAACACCTATATTTTAATAAAATTAACAAATACGCATGTGTGATTAATATGAGCTTAAAGTATTAACACACAAGTATAAACTTATACTACAAACACTATAAACTATATACCCAAGCTTGAAGGTCTTCAATATAGCTTGACTTGGTAAACTTGCGGATGAAACTTGAACTTGGATCTTCAACATGAATTGTATTGCTTCACTCCACTATCCCTTCCATCCTCCAATGGATATTATCGTGAAAGCTCGATTCCATCCATCCTCCAAGCATTGTTTGCCTAGAATAAATACAAAACACAAACACTAGACAAACAACATTAGTTATATAAATTGTTTGTTAATCATCATCAAAACAAAAGGACCCAACAGGTGAAGCTAAATACTATTAGGACAATGATGAGTATTGTATCTATTGAAGATCTTCATCTCAAGCAGTTGGATATGAAGATAGTGTTTCTTCATGGAGATCTAGAAGAGGTGATATACATGAACCAACCAGAAGGTTTTTTCAGAAGAAAAAAAAGAACCTAGTGTGCAGACTCAAAACGAGCTTGTATGGCCTGAAATAAGCCCCAATGTAGTGGTACAAAAAGTTTGACGGCTTCATGGACAAGGAATGTTTCCAGAAGTACAACGCCGACCACTCTTATTACTTCAAAATATATTAGTCCAGTTATATCATCCTATTATTGTATGTTGATGATATGTTGGTTGCAGGTGCAGATATGGAGGATATTCGGAGTTTGAATCAGCAGTTGTCAAAAGAGTTTGACTGAAGGACTTGGGTCCAGCAAAAGAAAATCCTTGGAATGAAAATCATGAAAGATAAGAAGAGAAGTCTCTTGAAGTTATATCTGACGAAATACATCAATCGTGTTTTGTAGAGATTCAATATGGACGACGCCAAGCCAGTGAGCACATCTTTGGCCAGCCATTTCCGTCTATCAAAGGATCAGTCTCCTCAGATGAAGAGAAAGAGGTTATGGCAAAGATTCCTTATGCCTCAGCCAATGGAAGCTTGATGTACGCAATGGTCTGTACAAGACCAGACATTGGCCATGCAGTGGGAGTGATCAGCCGGTTTATGTCGAATCCAAGGAAAAGCTCATTGGGAAATAGTCAAGTGTATTTTGAGATATCTACGAGGTACCACATAGAAGTGTTTGCACTTTGGTAAGGGAGAGGTGGAAGTGCAAGGGTACGTAGATGCTGACTTTAGAGGTGAAGTCGATCACCGAAAAAAACACCACCGGCTATGTATTCATTATCGGAACTATAGCTGTTAGTTGGATGTCATAGATACAAAAAATTATCACTCTATCCACTACAAAAGCTAAGTACGTAACATTGATTGAAGCCAGCAAAGAGATGATATGGCTTTAGGGTTTGTTAACAGAGCTGGGATTCAAATAGGAGAAGAATGTTTTGCACAGTGACAGTCAGAGTGTGATCCACATGGCTAAGAATTCTGTATTTCATTCTAGAACGAAGCATATTGAGCTTCAGTACAACTTCATCAGATCCATGTTGGAAGATGATGTGTTGAAACTGAAGAAGATTCCAGGAAGTAAGAATCCAACAGATATGTTAACAAAGACGGTGACCGTTCAGAAACTTGAGTTGTACGCAACTTCAGTTGGCCTTCATGCATAGGTGATGAAGACAGAGCCACACAGGAGATGATGCTTGTTGAGATACCTTGTTGACGGCGGTTTGTTCTCCAAGTGGGTGATTGTTGGATTTGGGTGAAGAATCAAACTTCCGCAAGCGAGGTCGACGGCGAGCTCGAGGTGAGCTTCTGGCGAGGTCAACGATGAGCTCGAGCACTCGTTCTTTAGGCGAGCGCGGCGAGCTCCACTCCAGGCGAGGTCGAGGCGTTTTTGGCTTGTTGTAGGTGAGCTCGAGAATTGGTTCTGGCGAACTCGAGCGAGCGACGAGGGCAGGCGAGATCGAATATCTTTAGGCGAGCTCGAGCTCAAGCCCTGCAGGCGAGCTTCGGCGACAGGCTGTCGCTAACCTGTCGCTAGGGTTTCCTTGTAAAAGGGAAACCCCAGGGCACGAGATGAGATCTTCTCCTCTCTTTCTCGTGGTGTTCTTTCTCCTGGCGGCGGACTCATAAAACTCAGCGGAGTTTTTCCTTCTCCTCTCGTGAATTTTTCAGCTCTCAGATTTGAGGGAGAATATAAAGGGGGTATTTAAGAAGGGGGTTTTATTACTATAGCTACAGTAATAATTACCATTTATTGAGAGATCTCAAGTTTGAGATTTGCTCTTGCATTGTAATTTCTTGTTGATTAATAAGAAATTAATTATGTAGCTCCCGAGGACGTAGACAGTTGTTGAACCTCGTTAAATCTTGATGTATTTTCTCTATACTACGCTTTTGTTGTTTTAGGGTTTTTGGCATAAATTCCCAACATAAAGGATTGTTCAAATAACTGTGAGTGAAAAATCAGGGAAAAATCAGAATAGTCTAGCTATCTATCAACAAGGAACGTGTTTAGAGATTTATAATATGAGGCTGATGTAACATGACCATATTTTATTATTATAGAAAATATCCCATTAGAATTTCAGTGGATAACATCCACTGTTTTATCCTGCCAACAACCTAGCTAACCAACATATGAAAAGAATTAATAGCTAACATCCAAGTGATTAAATTTGGATAAAACCTCACAAACACCTTTGAACTTTAGAGAGGTTTCGTGTAACTTTGTAAATCATATATATAAAACCCTTCAGAACGTTCACTATTCTACTAAACCCCTCTGAACTATGAGAAAATCTTATAAACGGGAATAACAGGTAGAGTAAAATCTCTAAACACATAACTAAATTAATTGTTGTGTTTACTTCTCCCACAAGATCTAAAAAATTTCACCACAATTCAAACTTATTAATCTACCTGTTAATCTCGTTTATGAAGTTTTCAAATAGTTCAAAAAGCTGGTTGAGTACAATTTTAGAAGTCTAGAGAGATTTTCTTTGATTTATGTAGTTAGTGATTTTGTTCAAAACTCCACAAGTTCAGGGGCTTTTATGAAGTTACCCAATTAAAAACCTTAAAGCTCATAGCCAATCACTAATTTCTCTACGCTTCTATCCAACCTCCAATATATATGCCAATAGCCCACAATCTCAAGACCACCATCTTCTTCCCCTCTCTCTCTCTCTCTCTCTCTCTCTCTCTCTCTCTCCTTCTCTCTCTCCTCTCTCTAAAATGGCCATGAACGCAAAGATGTTAGGAAGTGGCAAACAAACCCTAGTCCTTGCTCATGGATACGGGGGTAGCCAAGCTTCATGGGACAACATAGTCCCTACCTTAATAAAAAATTACAAAGTCCTTCTCTTTGATTGGTGCTTCTCTGGTGCCATAATTAATGACGATGATGAGAGAGTGGCATTTGATGCGGAGAAATATTCATCTTATAATGGATTTGCTGATGATCTTATAACTTTGATTGATGAGATGAATGTGAATGATGTTGTTTATGTTGGTCACTCTATGGCCGGGATGATTGGATGCGTTGCGTCCGTTAAGAGGCCAGACCTCTTCAGTAGGCTTGTGCTTGTAGGTGCTTCTCCAAGGTAAATTAAGACCTTGAACTTTGAATTAATTAAGTGAATATTAGGGGTTTAACTTCTTTGATCTCTTTATGATTTTATTTATGCTTTAGCAAGTTTGTGATTGTTTTAATTCCATTTTTCAGTTGAAATCGTTTTAATGACTCGTTTTTTTTTTTCCTGATATTTTTGTGCTTCTTATTTCTTCTTTGAGAAAGTTGGTTTAAGTCTCTATCAATGGGTAAAATCACAAAACATCCTTGAACTTAGGGTTGTTTGCACAAGACCCCCTGACTTATATATTAGAGGGAAAATTTTGCACGTTCAAAATTATTCAAAACTGGCCTGAACTATTTCGAATTGTCATAAATGGTGCTAATGATAATGGTAAAAGCTCTAAAATATCCTCATTACTACTTTTTGTTGTTTATGGGTCAAGTCATGCTAAACTTATTCATTTATTGTTATTTTAGAAATTGTAGATAAATTTTTTCAGAACTATATAAACTATGAAATATTATGTGCTATATTAATTAATTATATGGTTGACTTTAGAAGGCCTCTCAACTTTTGGGGTTTGTAGATATCCCCTGTTAGCTATTTTAATTCTACAGGACCTCTTGACTTTGAATAGTTAGCACATAACCTCCTAAACTTCTTCTGTACCAAACTCCTTACAGATTTTTTACTTTAGCCTCATAAAGTAACATTGTTACGTCTAACATGTCTATGTCAAGCATGTACTGAATAAGACAAAAATACTCCTCAACTTGTAAAAACTAATGGAATTAATGAAAAGGACAAGCGGTAGGCATCAAAAATTGTCTATAGGTTCCCACACGCAGTTCGAGACGGAGAGAAGACGATGAACGTCATTATCCGAGTAAAGGAGGATTATCTGACGCCGACAAGTGCAAGAAGTGAATCGGCGAACAGTTGATGACGTAGCAACAAACCACCGGAACGGCAAAGCAAGGGAACGCGTGCTCACCGGCCACCTCCAAGTGGCCCGCGTGCTCACTAGCCACCTCCAAGTGGCCCGCACGCTCATCGGCCACCGCCAAGTGGCCCACG